TATCGGTGTAATATCTCCTACATAGAGTTGGTCCTGATTGACAATTCTTATTTTCGTCTAAAAAGGAAATTATAATCGACAAAACTATGATTTTGAATTTACATTGATTATTTTTGTTTATTGCATTTTAAATAAAATTTGTCCTTTTTTTGTTTGTGCAAGCTACACATGCTATATTCGGAGCGAAGGCAAATTTTAAATGAATATATTTGTCACTATTTAACCTGTTAGATAAATTTAAGAAGTGATAAAAGATTTGAGTTCAAGTCTCGTCGTTATTTAACTATAAAATTATGCATATATTAGATTGGTTTCAAAAATAAATTCGATCTTCCTACTGAAGACATAATACATAGGGAAGTGCAATGTGTACATAATAGTTTACACAATCTTTTATACCTCCCTCACATGGAGAGGGGGTCCACATACAATAAAATATTCGTGAGCTTCCTCTATGTGAGGGAGGTGTAAAAGATTGTGTACACCACAAGGTGTACACATAGAATATTCCAAATACATATAGGCTCCCTCTAATTTCTAGTTCTTACAAAATTGACGTGTCCAAGATTAAAGTATGAAAGCTATCAGACCTTTAAAAAAAAATGTCTTGAGATTTATAATAAAAATAAATGATGCCCTTGTCCAATTGTGACGAAATCCAATAATCTTGGCCTGGGCATTGAGGAAGGCCATTAAGTTAGAGATATCAACGAGTCGAGTCGAGTCGGTTCGTAAATCGAAACTTGAAGTTTAGGCTCGACTCGAATAAAAATAATTCGAATTTTTTTTTGCCTAAGCCGAACTGAGCTTTTGCTCCCCCAAAAAATCTAGGCTCGGGACTTAAAGAGCTGAGCCGGGTCGGCTCGCTCTTTTTTTAAAGCAACTGTATGTGCTGCCTTTACAAGTCAGCTAAACAAGGCAGCAATAGCAGCCTAAAACCACTAAATACATTTATTTATTTTAAAAAGGCAATTGTACAGCTAAATAAATTTATTTATTTATTTTTAAAGTTTTGCAATTTATTTTTTATTTATTTTTTTAGGCTCGGATTGTTACAGGGCGAAAATGTCCCGTCGAGCCACACGGGCCAGCTTTGGCTTTTTCCTGATTGAGCCACGGGCCGCCCGAGCCGGCAAGTCAAATTGACACCTCTATATTAAGCTTTCCAATAATTGGGCCTCGATGGGTGAAAAAGAGCCCGACTGCATATATCTCATGGATCTTGCTTGCAAAAGTTTTAGCTTTTGGGCTACTTAATAGGCCCACCAGATATCGGTTAACTTATAGCCCATTAAGTTAGGGCTACACTTGGGAGTAATTTCAACATGAGGCCTGGCCCAATGCCCCTCTAATAAATAGCTTTGATGATAGGGAATTAGTTGATTCTTGCAATATTAAAACAAATCTTTAAAATAGAAAATTGAAAATGAACTGAAATACAAATCAAACGGGTACTTAGTTTTTGACATTTGAAAATGAATGAGTTGATCTTTAGCCTTTTTATTGTTGTTGCACTATGATTCCCCATAATAGAAGTAGTTCAAAATTCATTAAATAATCAGGTGTCTCTCATAGAAATATGACTCATTTCAAATTCGAACGCTACCTATCAAAATGCAAAACTTAGCTACATATAGTATTGGACATATATAGAGCAATATTTATCATTATCCTATAACTTATAAGCTAGATAAGTTGAGAATTATATCTTATAAATTGGATTGTGCATTTTATTAGACGTTCCAAGCATGTGTAGCTAGTTTAAAGTCGCAGCTCGATAGTCTATTTAGCGGGCCATTTGGCGCAAGAAGCTACACTAGGCATTTCAAAGAAGATGTGTATGGAGATGTCAAAAGTTCCGTAAATAAATAAGTCAACAATCTCAACTCATTAATATATAAATTTTTAAATTGCTTTTCAACTTCAAACCCTGAATTCCGCAACTTGTAAGGGTACGTAACCAGGTTTGATGAACCACGAACGACGGAGAAACAGCCTAAGAGGTGTTTGGAAGGCTAACTTTAAGGTACTGGTTGTTTAGGGTCCCCATGCCACTTGCCAGAAACTAATAGGAACCCTTGATAGGAGTCAGTTTATTGCAGTGTGTCCAGATTCAGTCCGTTAATTGGTGTCCTTTGCTGTCTCTATCTGCTCTTTCTCGACATCGAGACCTAATTCGGGACCATTACAATTGGACCCCAAATTCATTGACATTGAAAATCTAATATGTAGATTCCTTTCTTTTCACTCTTTTTAATTAGATATCACTTTAGGGAAGAATATGGTTGTCGAACAGAAGTTAGCATGTTCGGATCCTCTTTTTCTTGCCATATAACTCTTTATAGTCTGGGAAAAAAGAATTTTAACTGGTAAGAATGACCGAACACGTTCTATTTATAGGGGACGATCGCTCGCCGATTCAGCTCACCTCGCCAACGAGTCGAGCAGCGTTTTTCTTGTGCGAGCCACTCTTTGACTCGTATGCGAGTAGGCTGGCCAAGGTCTCGCCCCACTAGCGACTTGTGAGCCGGCTCGGCTCGTCCCACCTCTCCAAGGGAGTATTCGAATCACACATTGGTTGAGAGAACCGATTCACCTAACGGTAAAGTCGCTTGATTTTTCCCATTTAACACTCCTTATAGATGGGAATTGAATTCTTTAAAAGTGAGTACAACCAGCAAGAACCAGTTGTGTCTGAGACCCGCACTTCCCACCCGTTTCTAGTTTGGATAAAGCTACATTATCAGAAGGATTTGACAGAAATCTTGACATAATTGTATACAACAATAGATGATTGGATGAAAAAACTCACTGTATTTTAAATTGTCAAATAATAGATTGTCATGTGATATTATACCAACTTTAATGTTCATATTACATGATTGTTCTAGTTTCTAGTTTGTGTCTCATGAAGTACGAGTTCAAAGAGTTTACTATGGAGTACTTTTATTTTAACAAGCTTTTTCTCAATATTTTTAGCCTTTATTATATTTAGATAAAAATTAGGTTTTTGATATATTTTGATAAAAATCGATGAAATATATGATTGAAAAATTATTAAAAGTTGTGGGATAATGCTTGCGTGCTAGAAAACGTATGACAGAGAGAAGCCTGAATATGTGTTGACATGATGTGATTTGATGAAAAACTGAATGTGTTTTAAACAGTTCAATGATAGATTATCATGTGACATTATATTAAAGATTATGTTAACTATTACATTGTGTAAAATTTTTAGTTGTTGATGTATGAGATTGAAAAATGAGTTTGAGAAAAAATAATTTTAAAAAAGATGGAAACAGTTGAATTATTAGCCCTCGTTTGGTGCACTTTTTTGGAAAAAGAATGCATTTTTATTGTTGATGTGATAAGAAATATGTGGTTGAAAAAAAAGAAAAAATTATTGATGTGATAGAAAATATTATTTTATTGAAAAATGTATAATTAAAAATAAATAGAAAAATGAGAATGAAAAAAAATAATGTGGCTCAAATAGGGGCTTATGGATATGTGTCCGCAGAGAGAACTTGAACCTACGTAGTGCGGTGCCGCACTTCTGATACCATTTCTCCTTTTTCATGTAATAATAATTTTCTTTTTTATATTTTCAACGAGAATTTCCCCTCGATTGTATAAAATTGCCAACTGGGCACTTTAAAGCCAGATGTCTTTATAGTTTCTATCGCTTCATGTTCATGCATTAGCATTTTGCCAATTCAAACTTCTCCTCCTCCGCCGACCGCCATGGTAGTGGTGTCTCAGCCAGTTGATGAAAATTTTGCGCACATAAGAACATGTAAGCCCACTTCTAACATTTTCACTGAGATTCCAGTAGTAGATCTCTTAGACCCTGATGCTAAAACCATCATAGTTGAGGCCTGCAAAGAATTCGGATTCTTCAAAGTGATCAACCATGGAGTTCCATTGGAGTTCATAGCCCGATTAGAAGATGAAGCTATAAAGTTTTTCAATTCACCACAGCCCGAAAAAGAAAAGTCTGGCCCTCCAAACCCTTTTGGCTATGGTGACAAGAAAATTGGCCCGAATGGTGATGTGGGTTGGGTTGAGTATCTTCTGTTCAGCACCAACTCTCGAAAATTAATTCTCCCTGGAGTTTCAGAATCTTTCTGGTAAGAATTCTCAGTTTTATCTCTTTTTTTACCTGGTAAATAAATGGCCTTTAATCCTTAACAATTTGCAGGTCTTTTGTGAATGAATACGTGTCAGCAATGAGAAATTTGGCATGTGAGGTACTGGAAAAAACAGCAGAAGAATTGCAAATCGGGCCAAGAGACATTTTGAGCAAGCTTTTAAGGGATGAGAAAAGTGATTCTTATTTTAGGATAAACCATTATCCTCCGTGCCCAGAGCTTCAAGCATGGAGTGGTCGAAATATTTTCTAATTTTTCTGAGGTTCAATTGGCGGCGACGGCGGGGTGGAGGAGGCGGAGGGAGGTGAAGGAGAAGGGAGANGCTTCAAGCATTGAGTGGTCGAAATTTGATAGGTTTTGGAGATCATACAGACCCACAAATAATATCTATTGTAAGATCTAACAACACATCTGGCCTGCAAATCTCTCTGAAAGATGGTACATGGGTCTCAGTCCCACCTGATCACTCCTCCTTCTTCATCAATGTTGGTGATTCATTACAGGTCCGGTCCGGTCGGTCCATCCATTTGCTTTTACAATATTTGCTTTTTTTTCAAAGAATTACTTTCTCAAAGTTGAGGCATATGGTGTGCAGGTACTTACCAACGGGAGATTTAGGAGTGTTAGGCACAGAGTTCTGGCAGGCAGTTTAAATTCTCGAATTTCGATGATTTTCTTCGGAGGACCACCGTTGACTGAAAAGATTACACCTTTATCCTCAATAATGGAACAAGGAGAAGAAAGTTTGTACAATGAGTTCACATGGTACGACTACAAGAAATCAGCCTACAAAACCAGATTAAGTGATAACAGGCTAGGGCTTTTCGAGAAATCTTTTACCCATAATTAATAGTCAAATCAAATCCAAAAAGAGGTCTATTTGAATAAGTTGACCCAAGGGGACTTGCCATAGGTGGAAAGAAATAGGTCTTCCCCCCCCGGTCCTTTTGTTTATTTTATTCCGAATTTGGCTTGTTGTACATTCAATGATTCACATGGAGTTTGACACTTCATGTGAATTCAAATGGGCGAGAAAGTGTGTGGTGTTTAAAAACTGTCTAATCATGCTCCAACACGTGGCACAATGTCAAAATTGATGTCAAAGTTAATGTACTTGTAGCATGATTCTTTTATTCCTCAACTTCATCACCCAACTTTTCCTTCTGTGCTTAAATGTAATAACTGCCCCCTTCTACTATTAATGCAAATGTATGATCTGTATAATATTTATATTCTTCTCCTGTCCCCTTAAATATGGATGGTGTCAAATGGGGCATGCTACTTTCTTATGTCAAAATTTGTTGCTCCTCAATTTACAATTAATAAATTTATGAAAATATCATTGATACACTCGTGTTTAAAAATCACATAACCTCCCATGAGGGTGTTTGGTGTAAGCTAAATGAACATAATACTTGATATAAGGGGTTGACCGACCACTCACATTGCATGTGGGTTCCGACCTGAATTAAATAATGTCGACCTCCCCATGTGTGTATTGTGTCATCCTCTATGTCAAACAGAATTTATGATATTTGTACCATATGGATTACAATCTTGTTTACCCGACCTCACCCTTTTCTCACATGGGGGTCGGGTCCCACATCCAATAAATTCGTGGGACTCGACCCCGATGTGAGGGAGGAGGTGAGCCCGAATAAATATAAGTGTAATCCATAGGGTACATGTAGCATAACTCATGTCAAGCATTATGTTTGTGTAGCAAAACTCATTAAAATTAGATTTTTAGTAGATTGTGATAGAAGTTTTTAAAATGTATTGTTGAAAAGTTGTGGGACCCATAAAATATGTGGTTAATATTGATTGTTTGATTTTGATTTGGATTAAAATCAAATTTTAATCCGAACCAAACGTGAACTATAATTTTGAGTGTCACATACACCACTGTCCACTTTTTGAATTATATATCATCTAAAATAATGTTGATATACCTAAAATGTTATTGTTAAAAAAAAAAATCATTAATTACAATTTAATTTATTTTTTATAATAATTAAAATTTTCATTAATTATATGCATCATGTATATTAACATATATCTATTTTTAATTATCTGCATCATGTTTATTAACATATACTGATATTCATTTTTATTAATATATAAGGTAAAAAAATGTTTTATTAAATGGGGATATCTAATCCCGTTCGGTCCCCACATCAAACTCCCGAAAATCCTTGACGGTACAATAATTAAGTTCCGCTTTATTGTCATCCCTAGTAAAATCTAACTAATAATGTATGTTAATTTATTAAAATATAATACACCTTCAAATTTGGTTCTGTTTACTAAAATCGAGAACCGAACCAACACTAACTGGTTCGAGATTCTAGTATTGAACTGTTTAAAAACTTAAACATAACCAAACTAAATTAGTCGATTCAATTGATTCTGATACTTTTGTCTACTCCTATATCAAAAGGACACTTTTTAAGAGTATTCTGTACTACCTTTCTTACATCAACAATTATTGGCACAATTACTCAGTTATCACATGCAATGTGTATCAGTGTTATGTATTCCATTTCAAAAACGACCGCTATTTTTTTATTTTATTTTTGTTATGAGTGGGCTTCGTTTTTGAGCTCATCAATGGCTTTTATGATATAGCCGAAAGTGATATGCACAAGCTGGTGTCAAGAGACGAAAGGCTTAAGACCCAAATAATCAAAATACCATAAGACACATGCAATATATATAGGATTGGACCTCGGCCATGGTTGTCCCTTAAAGCATGGTCACGGAAGGAGCAAGTCGAGCAATTCTTGACCATGGATATGCCTAAGCATTAAAGGTAGGACCAGTAGCAAAGTGGTCAAGAATGGCTCAAACTCCACACGTCGAGCTATGTTCAACTATAGTTGAACCGAGAAGGTCTAATTCGTTCTTGAGTAAACTTAGTTTGATTCCCTACGTCAAAACAAATCCTAGATAAAGTCAAACCATTTGTAGTATCTTGAACTCCGAACGCTTACCGTGTGAAGTGTCACATTGCTTGCCACCAAATCATTGAACTCGTGTCTCGCTATGAGCGACACGTGTCTCGCCCGACTTTTCAAATTCATTTTTAAGTAGGGGTCTCCACATAACACAAAGAGATCCGGGAACTTTTCACGTGTACATTCTACACAATCTTTGTGTATGCTCCGTCTATGCAATCTTCATGTATTTCATTGGAATCTATGAATGGTCTAGTGAACTTATTGTGATTAGCATAATCGAGTTTAGAAAGGGCAAACGTGTGGAGAGTTTTAAATCCTTTTTTTTTTAACAAATATGCGGTTTTTTTATAAAAAAATATCTTTAAGAAGCTTTGCATGAATTTCGTTTTTTGAACAATTTAATTTTTGAGATGATTCGGGAGCTAATTTAATCAAGTCACTGAACGTTGCTTACCTAAATTTGAAAAAAAGTTACCAATGAATCACTCGTATCATTTCCATAATTGCTACATATAGCAAAATTTAATGAGCAATGAGTAACTTTGTTCAAATTTAGGTGAGCAATAGGTAAATTTTTAAATTTCAGTGAGCAAGCAGTAGCAGATAGTAAAGTCCAGTGAGCAATGCTTCTTAAAGATATTTGTTCAAATTTAGGTAAGCAACAAGTAATTTTTTAAATCTCGATGAGTAATTAGTAACATATAGTAAAATTCAGTGAACAAAGAGTAGCATTATGAATTTCGATGAGCATTTAGTAACCTATAACAAAGTTTAGTGACCACGATGATTCAGTTCAAATTTATAACTATCTAGGTAGTAGTCCTAATTTTCTCTTATTATTATCAAAAAGAAGCACCTTTTGAATTACTTGTAAGCTCAGCCAAACATGCTCCTGCATATAAAGTACCTTTTAAGCTGCTCATATTTCTAGATACTTATCATTTCGTTCTCCAAAAGTATAGATATGGTTCTCAAAAAAGTTGCTAACATGTTTTAGAATGAAACTATTATGCAAGCAATTGACATAAAAGTTTCTTTGCAATCTTGGAAAGAATCTTGAAGTCGAACCAGCACAGCACAGCACAGCACAGCACAGCACAGCACGCCTCAGATTTGGTCCAATCCCACTGTCTAACAAGAATAAATTCTTCCAAAATCTACTTCAATGTCAACATAAAAAAATTCGATCCATCGGATAAGTGGGATAAGTAAAAAAGATAAAGTGAATAAGAATGACTTATTTTCATGTACCACCTTTTTTAAGCATAAAAAAACAGGGTTTAGTTTTTAGTATCCAAATCTTTCAAATCTATGGCCTACAATTGATATTAATTTTATTAAAATATAAAACGAATTTGGTCCATCATATCATAATGGAGAATGAACTTTTTTTTCTTTTCATTTTCATATATATATATATATATATATATTTGTGTGTGTACAAGTTCAATGAACGCAGTCATTTTTAAAATTCAACCCCTGTTTGATCCACATTTTTAAAAAAATTTATTCTTTCAATACTCATTTTCAATCATACATTCTTTAATAAAATAATATTACACGCAAATTCAAAACTTTTCCTTATTTTTTAATCACATATTTTCCATCGCATCGCATCATAAAATGCATTCTTTTCTTAATAATGTGCATCAAACACCCCTTCAAATAATGATTATCGTTGAAATCTATAATATATCAAATATCACATTAAGTGAGAATCATTTTTCGAACGATTTTAGCTTTACTACAATTCAATTATTTCAATAATACCTTATTTTTCGTTTTTCAATATGTCATAATTTCGTATTTTTAATTCTCAATTAATTAACATTCACATTAATCTAAACTCAATAAATCTTGATTTGATGAAGGTTGATCTACATGAATTTAGAGTTATTATAAATATTTTTTTTATTCACGTATCTAGGAATTTTAATGAACTTTAACAGATTCTTTTATCAAGCATTTGAAGTAAAAATATTATATTTTGGCAATGTGAAATTGGGTAGACGGAGGGTGAATTCTTGAGAAACTATTTTTTTTATAGTAAAAGATGATAATATAAACTAAAGTAAAATCGTATAGCAATCCTGATTTTGATGTAGATTAAAAAAAATGCATCAGCTTTTTTTTTTTTAATTATTATTATTTCTGTGCAAACAATAATAAATTTCTATAAATAATATTAACCAAATTTACAAACACTTATTAATGATTTAGATCAAAAACATTAATAAAAATTACATGTTGATCCCCGTCAGGGGCGTTGCCTCTGATCCCCCAAGATGGGCGCTGCCCCCTCGACCCTCGCGATCTGACCGGGCGGTCGATCCCTGTTGGGGGCGTAGCCCCCGAGCCCTACTGCACACTTCAAAATCCTTTTTTTTTTGTATCTAACTGTTCACGAGCTCGTTTCCATCCATCCAGCTGTAAAAGTATTCTATTATTCTCTCTCTCATATATTCATTTTTGTCACCTTCCATTTCACACTTCAACTGGTTGTGCACTGTTCATTTGTGAGGTGCTCCATTTCACACTTTTATTGGACATTTATTGTTCACTTATCGGTTAATAGTATTCATAAATATCTCCCTAATAAATACAATAGCAAAAAGAGAAAATGGATCACTTCTACAACTCTCTCTCCTAAGTCCTAAGTTTATAGCATGTTTGGTAATGAGGAAAAAAAATGTTAATATCTCGTTCAC